TTCGATGAGCGTTTTCATGCGTTCATTGAAGATATTCTCGAAACATACCTGTACTCTTCCTTGCAGACCCATAATAATTATCACTTTGTAACTAATCTCTAATTGTAATCAACGAATGAGTTGAACGTTAATCAACTGTTCTATTTTAAAAATGTGCAGATGTTAACGAAAGCCAAAAATTACAATCATGCGTATGAATTAGCGCAGATGTGCACAATACGAATATCGTTCGTGAAAGGGTGGGGCGCTGATTATCCAAGACAAGATGTCACTTCGACACCGTGCTGGATGGAGATTCAGTTACATATGCCGCTGAAGGTATTATTCTTCTTTTTCTTTGGTGTTCTGATGGTTTGGCTCTTAAATGTGCATATTATTTGATGCAAAGTAATCATCGTTCTCTATTTATTCAATATTATTTACCAACAACATAATTTGAAACGGCTTCCCGTTGCATAATATCTCGTTTTGCATTAACTATAAGTGCGGACACGTCATGAGTCATTGAATCATTTTTGTACATGCGAAATCTGTTATTTTTGCTTGAAAATTTTAAAATTTGAATTAGTCGTCATTTTAAACCTTTTGATAACATGTTTACGTTCACGTTAGAATTCAATTTAGCGGTGGTGAATTTGTGCAAAATTCATTATTGGTCGCAAAAATAGGATATTCCGTTGTTTTCTGATATTTGATTTTATTATTTTTCTTTCTACTCTTTTCCTTCACCTCTGATAGTGTTTCGCATTATCACAACGAAACTGTTGAGGGTGATCGTGCAATCAGTCAGCAACACATCAGTTGATCAAAGATTTTGATTGAGATCAATCAATCAATCGATAAATTTCAGTTTGCCGATGAACTAATCGCTAAATTTCCTCCACCACTCAATCCGATATCATCAGTTTCATGATGGATCCATCGATTCATATTCTACTGATTCTTTCGCATTCGAGTGTTTGCGAATGAAGCATTCGCCTGTTTCGTTCGTCTATCCAGCGGGAAGGGTGTAATTTGCGTGGACGAACGGCAATGAATGATACATCGCAAAGGTTTATCAGTTCGAAATTGTTGTGTGGGTCCGTCGATTATCGATTTGTTAATTATCAGCAGTAATATGTGATCTTCATTCGAATGTATTATAACAATATTGATGAGAATAATCATGTTTATAATATTGATGCAAATAACAATAAATCGTTTTACTGATTCTGCTAGTGGCATTCTATTATTGCTATTTCTCATAGCGTTCACATGCTGACTCGAATCATGATTTTGAGAAATAAATCAACTCAATCATTTATTAGTCATCTTATCTGACAAGTATTATAGTTGCTTCATCGACGTTATTCAAGTGATGAATACTTTTTTGGTATCGGTCGGTTTCATACAAGCTAAACTTTAATAACTCAATTAATTGTTGAATAATTTCAAGCGATAAGTGATTGAATCGGTCCTTGTCCAATCAGGATATAATTTAATCGGTTCTTTATGAAAATGAACGCAACTGATCTCAACTCTCCATTCATATCTTTGCAATCACTCCGAGACAGTTCAGTTTTATCATCGGATCGCTACAGA